AATTATAGGATTAACATGCTCTTTTTGGTACTTTGTTGATGAAGAACTCAAGGTTACTACTGTTCTACTGGCAGCCAGTCAAATTTTAAAATATAACAATCTGAGAACAGAAGAAAAAAAAAAGATACCTTTGAAAATTTTAACAGCTGAAGACAAGTTTGATATAAAAGGTTTATAATAAGTGAGACAGAGGAAAAATATTAAGAAGGCTATAAGTAAAAGAGATACACTGTTGGGCTGGGGATTTAGCTCAGCGGTTTCACTGCCTGCTGCCCAAGCGCAAGGACCTGAATTCGATCCCCGGTACCAAAAAAAAAAAAAGATATACTGTTGACATGAAAGGATTTTGTATGTTAGTCTTGTTAGAAGGATAAAGAGAGATATACAAGACCAGAAGGCCTAGGTACGTTGAGAAGGTGTGTGGAAGTGATTTATCAAGGAAATATGTATGTTTGCTTGCTGGTTTCAAGTTTGTTATAAAAGGTTTGCATTTACAGGCATAAAGAGGTTTCATTCTTTCCAAGTTCTACAAGAGATCTCTGTTAATTGACTTACAAAAAGTTTTGACTAGTCTTGCAATTATAAACCTAAAAATTACAAAAGGATATTATAATGCAATTAGGCTAAATATATTTGAGTGCACTCTAGTTTGACAAATTGTCTTATATGTTTGTCCAACTGTTAGCTATTTTGCTTAAGCTCAACATTTTTTTCCTTTAAAGAAAAATTTTTAGAAAGATATTTGCTTATAATTTAAATTGGCTTATAGATAAAGGTTATTTCTTGTTTTTTTTTTTTTTCTTTTCTGAGAATCAAACTCAGATCCTTGCCCTTGGGAGCCAGGCGGGGGAACCACTGAGCTAAATCGCTGGCCCAGATAAAGGTTATTTGAGTTAAAGGCATGCTTTTTTTCCCCCTGGTTGCTAACAGGTTAAAATGATGTAATGCATATTGTTGTCTAAATATAATCACTCCAAAACTTTAATTGGTTACAAATAATGTATTAATTGTTACAATCTGGTTTTTATAGGTTATTAAATAAGCTTTGTCAAAGTAATTAATGAAGACCCTTAGGTATGGAGAGACTGCTAAACAGGACTCCCTTTGGTGAACAAAGGAGTGGTCGCACGGAAATATTTTCCAGTCTGCTCTCTAGGAGGACGGACCTCAACAGTTTCCATACTCTTACAACAGACTAACCCCATAGTTTGCACAGCCTTACAAAAGACTTACAGTAATATTATTTAAATATGCTATTGTAATATGTTTATATTGGTTGTCAGCAAAGGGTTAAGTTCTAAATATGTTATTGTGGTATGTTTACACTGGACATCTTCAAAAGATTAAATTTTCTGTGGGAAAAACAAGGTTTTATTGATAAGATGCTTTTGGTACCACACTAAATTAAAGGGGACAAGGTTTTATACATATAATTGTGATATTGTTAATTTTTTGATGTACTAAATGTATTCAATCTTTCTGCCTGTACAGATTTTCTAATATATTGTTTATGGTAATAACCTCCTTTTGATTCAAGTATTTGCCTTTCTCTTACACTCCAGCTACTTATAATAACAGGTACATTATCTTATCAAGTGATAACAATTTAGATGAGAAATTTTTGTGTTTTTGGAGAATGAGTACATTTAACAATGGCTATTTTATATTAAGATGGATATTTAAGTGTGTTATAAGCTTAATGTCATCATGATTGTCATGCTAAAATATTATGTATGGCTCTTGATTTGAAGCTTTTTTTCTGTTAACATTTTATAGCAATTCAACTGCTAGAACAACTGTGATTGATAATAATATTCTTCTAACTATATTTTATATTTCAAGGTGCTTAACATCCAGGTAAAATTATATTAGTTAAGTTCACTACTCCTATTGCAATGCTAATGTTATTGATCTTCTCTTCTGGGTGTTCAACAACTAAGGTTTAGAGACCAGAACTTAAAAAGGTAACTGGGCTAAGAAGACAGCCAATATTTTGGCCCTGGCCCTTCAAGGTCTACAAATAACCCAGGACATGAGAGCACCTTTTCTACAAGATTCTACAACTTTGGTAAATCACCCAACCTCCTGAGCAGGGAGACTTTTGGACACCAAAATGATAAGAATCAACAGTGTGCCAAAGTCACTTGTAGTGCTGTCACTTGTAGGGGAAAATCTCCCATGCTTTCACAGAAAGTAACATGGTCAAGCAAGGTTGTGATGCATCCTGATGGCTGACACTGACAGGAGCTGAAAAGCTCTATACAAGGTTCAAAGTAATACCTGTGGAGACTTAATTGACCTTGATAGACATTAAGAGGTTAATTTTAATTAATATAGGTCTCACTTTAACTTGGTCTTCAACACCCAGTAGAAAAGTATAATCCAAAGATATATGAAGTCAAGACAATAGCAATAAAACTACATATAAGAAGGGGCTCCAATTGCTGACCCCTATTGGCAGTTTCCAACTACACTGGGGACTCACCCCTGTTGTGGGTCAATAGAAAAAAGTTTGGTAAAATCTACAGACCTCAACAAGAGCTTTAAAATTTTTTAGCTAAAATTTTTTTTCAAAATTGTTAAATTTTCAGTCTTTTTACAGCTAAAATTAAAAGAAAAATTATGACAAAATATCAGACTAATGGCTTGTCCAAGTGCAGTGGTGTTTACAACTAACTGATCACAACCAGTTAGATAACCTTCATTAATGAAAGGGTCTAAGAGCCAGCAGGTTACAATCACTATTTTAGTCCTTTAAAAACAGTTTCTAAACATGGCTCTTTCCCCAACCTGCTTTTTTATTTTAGTACTTATACTTTGACTATACATGCTCTAATTTCTTAAATTTGTTTATTCTTGCCTATAAGCTGCCAAACTCCAAGTGATCATATAGATAAAATCAACAACAAATGTGCTAGATGTTTTTACCAAAATCCACCAGATTGACTTTATATAGTGAGTTTATAATTGCTAAATTACAACACGATTTTTATTTAAGCCCTATTTAATTAGCTCCCTGAAGAGAACCCCTAACTGTGGTCTTCCCAACATCAACCCTTCTCAGCTTGAAGCAGTTGGATTGAAACTATGCCCTTTCTCCCCTAACCACATGTGGAGATGCTCTTTATAAACGAAATTATTATAGACAGCTAAGTCAGTTAGACACATTACAAGTCTTTGTGGCAGAGGTCCACTGGATAACTCACGGGACAAGGCACTGTTGGACGCACTCACCTTTCTCTAAAAGCACAATTACATAAACAAAAAGGGGGGGATACAGCTACCCCCACAAGCTCAATTACTTTCATTTTAAATTTTTTAGATCCACTTATGGAAAGTAAATATATACAAAGATAGATCTACAGACATGTCCTAGACACTAGTGCTGTCAAAGTATGTCCTAACTAGGGCTGGGGATTTAGCCTGCCTCACAAGCACAAGGTCCTGAGTTCAATCCCCAGTACCAAAAAAACCCCCAAAAACAAACAAAAAACACTCTGTGACAAAGTATGTCCTAACTAAAAGGTAAATGACTCAATACAATTAATAACATAGGGGCCAGGGTATGCTTATTTTTTAACAAAATAAAAAGATGCTGTGGCCATCATCCCAGAATGTACCACAATGGACCAAGATGGATTCACTGCAAGCAGCATGATGTGACACCCCTGCTGAAAGCCACTCAAAGGCTGCCCTGGGACCTGCAAAGATCACCAACAAACCTGATGCACCTGCCATCTTCAAACAGAGAAGGGGGAGATGTAGAGCACCATAATATTGAATATGCCCAAAGCAGACTGCAAAACGTTAAACCCACAATTGGCTTGTTTTGAGAAGTGAGTCTGGCTGAAGCCTATGTGCCAAAATCAGAGAAACCTGCACCCAAATTCCGTTCCCACAACTAAAACCTTCAGACTAGAAAGATAATGTTCTAATGACAACCACATATTTTGTCTATTCTGTTCCTAATTTGAGAATGCATTGTTTTGTCCTTTATGAGCCTTGTTTATATTAATTTCCATAGAAACCACATGTTGCCTTTAGCCCAAACTGATTGCCAGTAAGTCAGTGCCTGGAACTGCCCAGTGCCTTTGCTGGTTGCACTGGCATTGGCTGTCCTGGCACCCCACTTTCTCTCCTAGTTCTGTCTCTTAGTGTATGTTTTTCTCAGGCCTGCATTGCACACCGGGCAGGTGGGGACTAGAGAGATACTGCAGGAATCTCTGGCAAAAAAATCTGAAACAAATGTGGCAAATTTAAAAATTGACAGAACTAAATAAAAAGATGTACATATTTTCTGTAGTTTTTTAGTATGCTTAAAATATTTATAACTAAATATTTATCCTGCCAGATATGATGGCACATGCCTGTAATCCCAGCACTTGGGGGCTATAGCAGGAGGATCCCCGTGTGTTGGAGGCCAGCCTGGGCTACATGGTGAGTTCAAAGCCAGCCTGGACTATGTAGCTAGACCCTATCTCAATAAATAAACAAACAAACAAATAAGTAAAATTTTCCTAAAAATTCAAATATAAGTAATATTTGCCTAGATACCTTTTTTTTTTTTTTTTGGGTACCAGGGATCGAACTCGGGACCTTGTGCTTGTGGGGCAGGCAGCAGAACCACTGAGCTAAATCGCCGGTCCCCTAGATACTTTATGACTCAGCTTAAAATATTAAGATGAGATTGATGGAATCCATTAAATTGTTTAAAACCCACATATCACTATCATTAAATTTCCACAGGTTCTAAAAGTACATGGGTTCGCCAGGGATTTAGCTCAGAGGTTCCGCTGCCTGCCTTGCAAGCGCAAGGACCCGAGTTCAATCCCCAGTACCAAAAATAAATAAATGTACATAGGTTCATTAAGAAAAAAAATCCAAGAGGGCCAGGGATTTAGCTCAGTGGTGACTGCCTGAGTTTGATCCCTGGAAAGAACAAACAAACAAACAAACAAAGCACGCAAGCAAGCAGCTTGACAACTTGCCAATTTACATACCTGGCCTTGTAACTCTGGTCGCACAACATATGTACTTGGGTATGGGGCCCTTGGTCGTGCAGCTGAATTCCAGTAGTTAGCAATATAGCCAGGATATGGTGGCTGCTCCTAAAAGGAAAATGAATTCACTTTTAATAATATTCTTACATCGAGTACTACTCTGCCATAAAGAAGGACAAATGTAAGTAACCTGCAGAAATATGGATGCACCCTGAGTCCATTATGTTAAATGAAATAAATCAGACCCATGAGCTTAAATACCACATAATTTTTCTTACATGAAAAGCCCAAAATATAAATAAAGAATAAAATAAAAGTTACTTAATAGGATGTAGAGAAACAGATCTTTCTCAAATAGGAAGGGGATCAGGGGATGGAGGGGAAATGAGGATAGGTAAAGGTATGAAAAAACAATTAAAATGTGATATGTACATTGTCTTATTTTTCTTGTTGCTGAGACAAAATACCTGACCCTAAAAGTTAAAGAAAGTTAAAGGTTTATTGTAGCTTACAGTTAGTTTATAAAAATTTCAGTTCATAGTTGGCTGGCTCCAAAGCAGGGTGGCATGGCAAAGGGGGATCGAAGAGCAAGCAGGCAGAAGACAGCAAGCAACAAGTGACAACAGCAGCTTGTCACTAATTTAGTAACAGTGGACTAATTTAGTAATCACACACCCTTAATCCCAGCATCACATACTCTAGATCCAGCCACCTCTAAAAAAGCCCCATCTATGATCTCATGAGGCTTTGGGGGGACATCTAGACCCAAGCCATAACATATGTGTACCAACTCCACATAAGGAATATAATCATTATGTACTCCAAACATGTACAAAAAGAAAAAAAGGGGGGATCAAGCAATCAATGGAGGGAGAAGGAAAAGAAAAAAATACTCTTAGATCATTCTGAGAGTTACAGAGGCAGGATATAGGTATCAAAAAAGGTAACATAAAAAGCAACCCAGGATGGCTACAGCTTTCGCCATGAACAGCGTCGGAGAGGCTTGCACTGATATGAAGCGCAAGTACGACCAGTGCTTCAATCGCTGGTTTGCCGAGGAGAAGTTTCTCAAGGGGGACGTTTCCAGGGATCCGTGCACCGATCTCTTCGAGCGCTACCAGCAGTGTGTTCAGAAAGCAATAAAGGAGAAAGAGATTCCTATTGAAGGACTGGAGTTCATGGGCCATGGCAAAGAAAAGCCTGAAAACTCTTCTTGACCTTGAAAATGGATTCATCAGGAAATTAAGGACTCTGGATTTTATCAACTAAGGCCCTGAATATAGCCATGGGATTGATGAGTTTAAGAGGAAGGAATTTTATTTCTTCCTCCTCGATGTTTTCCTCTCACTTGTAAATGATGAACAATCACTATGCTTTGAGATGATTTCTCACTTGTTCTGGCATCTTGGAGGAACTCAATGTGCTAAAATTGAACCAATTCTTGAGATTACTATTGCAATATGTGGTCTGGAATTAGCTTTCAATATATCTTGTGTGTAAATAATGATAAATTAATCAAGATGATCAGGGTTGCCTGATGTCTTGACTTTGCTGCAAAAGTACTGGGGTCATTGTTCATGAAAGCATTTGGTTGGGACCTCTTTTTCTCTCTCAGGGAGTAAATACTCTATAAAAAGGGATCCGGGCACAACAGCTGCAATCAATACTTGGGAGCACAGTTTTACTTTTATAAAATGACTAACAGTTAAGTTTGCCGGTGACCTGGGCTAGCAAAGAGGAAGACAGCTGTTAACACTTCCCGCCTCCAGGTATCTAAGACATGTAAGCTTCAAGAATATTGACCTAGGGCCGGAGATTTAGCTCAGTGGTGCTGCCTCCTGCCTCGAAAGCGAAAGGTCCTGAGTTCAATCTCTGGTACCAAAAAAGAATGTTGACGTAAACACCATTTCAGAGCTCACAGTGTATAGTTAAGGAATCATGGTATTTGCAGTGCCTATGGAAGAACCACCTATCACAGAGATTTGGTGTTGCCAGCTTGCAACCCAAGTTAATGAATTAAGTCAACCTGCCTATCATAAAACGAAAATGCTGCATCTGGTTAAGTGGAGGCGAAAGGTGCTTGCTTTATTTGCCTTGTTTGCCCATCTTATAATGTCTGTAATCATGAAGATGGAATAAACTCTAACATTTAGTTTTTAAAAAAAAAAAGCAACCCGGCCTGGTGGTGCATGCCTGTAATCCCAGCACTCAGGAGGCTGAGGCAGGAGGATTGCCATGAGTTTGAGGCCAGCCTGATCTACACAGTGAGTTCAAGCCCATCCTCAATTACACAGCCAGACTGTCTCAAAATAAATAAATAAATAAATAAATAATACAAAAAGGCAGTGGAGCCTGTTACGGCTTGTATCTAGATCTCCCCCCAAAGCCTCATACGCCCATAGGTGGGCTTTTTGGAGGTGGCTAGATTTAGGTTGTATGAATATGGATTAAGGGAGTGATAGCTAAATTGTCCACTGATTGGTTTAGCATAGTTCTGGTTATAGATAATAGGAAGCCCCAACCCAGATAGGGGTGACACCAATCAATAGGCTTATAGCCTGAATGGAAAAAAAGGGAAGGGGAGGCTTGCTGCTTTGCTGCATACTGCTTTCTGCCTGGCACATCATGGGCTGTTTCTCCTTTCCCATGCCACCCTGCCTTGGAGCTAGCTGACCACGGACTGAAACCTCTACAAACTACTACCTAAAAAAAAACTTTCCCCTTTTAACTTTGGGTATTTTGCCCCAGGAACAAGAAAGTAACTAAGACAGAGCCCTATCATAAAATCATTATTGGGCCGGGGATTTAGCTCAGTGGTTTCGCCGACTGCTGTGCAAGCACAAGGACCCAAGTTCGATCCTTGGTACCAAAAATAAATAAATAAATAGGCATAAAATCATTATTAATCATTATTAAACGGATGAAGAAGACAGATGTGATGGTGCATCCTGTAATACCAGCATTTGGAAGGCTGACAAAGGAGGATCATGAGTTTGAGGCCAGTGTGGACTACATAACAAGTTTGAGGCCAGCATAGACTACATAGCAAGTTCAAGGCCAGCCTCAACTACATAATAAGATCCTACCTGAAAAAAACAAAAAAGTAAATGATGCAGATATGTTACATGGTAAATTACATGCCCTACAATAAACAATTACTGACTGGTAAACGCTTGTTCTTATCCATTATGTCAATTCCACTATACCAAATGATATATAAAAGAATTCTATGTCAGACTGACAACCCAGACATTAATTTCCTTTATTTCCCTCCAGTCACTGCCCATCATTATGACACAATGAGCACCCCCAATTTGGAAATTTGAAATCCACAATGTTCCAAATACCAAAACTTGTTGAGTGGCAACATGACCTCACTAGTGGGGAAGTCTACCCTTGATGTGCTGAGTTGCAGTCAAAATGCAGGCACATGCAGGGCTGGAGATGTAGTTCAGGGTACAGTGCTTGCCTAACATGTGCAAGGCCTGGGGTTTGAACCCCAACACCACACACACACACACACACACACACACGCACACACACACAAAAGAAGGTGCACTAAAAAAGGTGTGTATTCAATCCCCAGCACCAAAAAAAAAAAAGGTGTGTAAAATTACCTTCAAGGTCTGTATAAGGTATACATGAAAGATAAATAATTTTGTGTTTAGTCTTGGGTCCCAAGTCCCATATATATATATCACTATGTATACATAAATATCCCAAAACTAAAAAAAAAAAATCCAAAATACTAATGGTTCCAAGCATTTGAGATATATCAACCTGTATTAATTTAACTAGTACAACAAACAGTACTTTGCTCCTGTTTAGAACAGTGGTAACAACTTTTGAGCATGAAAATATTACTGCTAAAGTTTACTTCAAGCACACACATCTTTAACTTTGCCTCGCCATACTTCAGGTTTTTAAAATATTTTTCAGCTGTCTGCTATGGCTAAGCTTTCTGCTGCCAACTATACTTCAAGGTCAGGAACAGATAACAGAACAACTACCACTCCAATCTAGCTATGGTAATAATCTCTTCAACCTTTCTCTCCAACTGAAAAAGTTAACAATGATTTGTGATAAGAAGCCAGAAAATTAAAAGACTATGTCAGCTCTCAAAAATTTCTAAAGCATCTTCTGTCTAGTTTAATAGATGTATACTTTTTTCCTTTTAAAGATTTTATTAGTATGACCTCAGTATGACAGCTATCGTACATAGATATAGTACACTGTTAACAGAGCTGAACAGAAGTATTTGAAATAAGTACATTACTGAAGCGTAGCATATTTCAAAATGTCCACTCTGAGTGATCATGCAAATCCCATGCATTTCATCTGCATCCCTTCACTGCATAACACACTCTGTGCTTATCCTCACTGGGTCTCAGAGTGGCCTTGACTTTGCAGCCAGGAGCTGTTACACCTTTTTTCAGATCCAGAGTTTTAAGAGAGACAGCAATAACTTCAGGCATTCCATGGAGTCTGGCAGCAACACTGGCTTTTGGTTTGTTCAGATAACAATACAAGTACTAAGACAGAATCAGTTGTGCACACCTGTAATTCCAGCACTTGGAGGCTGAGGCAAGAGATCATCACAAGTTTGAAGCCAGTCTGGGCTACATAGTGAGTTCGAGGCCAGCCTGAACTACATTGTCAATTCTTGTCTCAAAAATTAAAAATAAAATACCAGTGGGCTGGGGATTTAGCTTGGTGGTTCCGCCACCGGCCTTGCAAGCGCAAGGACCCGAGTTCAATCCCCGGTACCAATAAATAACCACCAGGGATTTAGCTCAGTGGTTTCACTGCCTGCTGTGCAAGCACAAGGACCAGAGTTCGATCCCTGGTACCAAAAAAAAAAAAA